TAAATAGTCTCTTGCCTGATATCATTCTACGTGTGGGCACTTGAGTAGGGTACGTAAGTGGTCTAAGGTAGCACAGAATTTTTATGGAAATGGAATCGCTGAGTTCTTTCTGAGATTATGACGACAGTGTATTCTGGAAGCTCTTGGCAGTCTTGGGGGGTGTCAAACTGGGAAGAATTCTTGGCTGTGCAGGCCTCTCGGCTCAACCCTGCTGGATACCCAGGTTGCCTGTAGCTGCATTTAGGGTCTGAGTGGTGGAGAGAGCATCAGGTAAGGGGAAGTTACAGTGTTTGTAGTGAGAGGAGCAAGAAATTGGAGATGGGGAAAATGAGAAAATAGACTAATAACTGCTTTGTAAATGAAGCTTTTGTTCACTGCCTTTCATCAAGTTAGCTAAAAGTCTAGATATTTGCTTAAGAAACGATTTGGCTAGCCAGGTTTAGGTGTATGTATTACACTAACTGGACAGAGACCAGTAATATGGGGTTATGTAGGAAGCATGTGCTTAAGAAAGGCATTTTCTGCAAAGTGGTTGGCTGGTCATGTGTCAAAGCACTGTGTACTTACTGTAGCCAAGATGGAGAGAATTGGTCCAAGTGCTTTTTGACACCTAAAAAGGAGACTGTTTTTTGATGTTGAAAGGAGTTGACTGTTTTAAAATTCACCTGAAAATACATTTTGAAAGTAATCATATATTAGATTATGTGTATTCATCGACCAAATTTACACCCAAAAATTGATGTTGTGTAATGAACCATTTAATACGTTTTATCGTGCTTTAATGCTATCATACTTTTTAACTGCTGGTAATGGAATTAATTCTTAATGACAAAATACTTTGCTCCATCTTATAACTTAAATATGTTCTGATGTTACATGTGATCATAAACTTGACTGCTGTAAAAATTTCAAACTTTGAGCTGGTTTTTTGACTTTGCAATTTTGAGGGACTTTTGCACTTTGCATGAATTCTTTTGTACTGCTGTGTGTCTTGGTGTGATTAATATCAAAGGTCTTTAATTTATGACAGGAATGGATTAAAGTCATGTACACTTCATGGTTCTGAATGGAGTCATACAGTTTAGAAGGGAATATAGAATAACTATTCTTAGTTTTCAGGTAGCTGTCATAACAGCTCTTCATTGAGTCTTTACCTAAAATGGCTTGAAAGAAGATATTACCCCCTTTTTCCTCTTGAAGTCTTGATTCTGTAAGATAATAGGCAAATGTTTTGATTAGCACGGAGGAACACTAGTGCTGATTGAGCTTACTTGCTGCATCTTGCTGCTTTTTGAAAAAGCTTCTGAGGACTGCTTTTAATTAGATGGAGGTTTTGTAGGATCTTCTAAATATTTAACAGCAGATGATCTCATTCTGATGAATCTTAATTATTTGCATAATATTTTTGTAGTCTCTCTTAAACTTTGTCTTCTGTGCAGAAGCATTAGAATTACATGTAGTAGGGATATTTCTTATGCCTAACCACTGAAAATGCTTACAATGAATTGGAATCTAATTAGATGGTAGGTTCTTCCAGCTTCTACCTTTTTTCAAAGATTTGTAATAGAATTTCTAAATAGTGAAGGAATGGATGATTTGTCATTGTTGACTGCTGCCATTCGCTTCAAAAATATACTCACGTTTAAGCTGTTGTGTAATTTTTAATTGGAACCCATCAGCTCTCCCATGACTAAGCAGCCCTTCAGGCTCTGTCTTGGTTAGCAAAAATGAAGAGGTCTTGATTACTTAGTTGAGTTACTGCAGACTTTTCCAAGGTTGTAAGAGTGCAAATATACAAGGTGTTTGAATCTGAATTAACTGGCTATTGCGTCTAGGCTGCTTGTTGAAATAAATCTAAGGAAGTAAATAGCGTTTCAAGTGCGCTAGCTTTCACTCTGTAGTGGTTTAGGGGTTTTTTTGGTCATCTTACAGTAGTTTGAGGTTTCTCAAAGTGTAAACTTTGTTGCTTTAATTTTTTTTTGCTATAACTTAAATAGTTCTGTCTGTATTTCAGCACAGTGGCCTCTGTGCAAAAGTCAATAGAGCTTAAACAAAGATAATCACATTCAGAATGCAGAACTTTCTGGGGGGAGCATGCCAATGAGTAGAACTGAGGCCTCTGTAAATCAGAGCCTGATTGTGCTCACGTAATGAGAAAAGGTTCAGATTTGTGTTTCTTAAGAAAACTTCAGAATGAGATAAAATTGTCCCCCAGGAAACTGTTGTGTGTAGGCTGGACACATAGTATATGATGGTAAATTATAACTGTGTTCAAAGGCAGTAAGCTCTCTAAATAAATAAATAAGGTTTTTTTCCAAATGAAAATATTTTGTGGAGATTCTAAAAAGACTTGTGATGAAATACAGGGTTATTGTGGGAGAGTCGGTCTTGCTTTTGGACTGAGGAAGATTGATTAAGTGTTGCATTTTTGTAAAACACTGGTGCATAAATAACAGACCAAAAATACTGCCTTAAAGGTGACCTTGTGAGGATGAGAAAAAGGCTACGTACTACTTGTTCTCTGTGTGCTTAGAGTAGGTTTGAATTCTGACTTCCTGTCCTTGTTTGAAATTTTATAAAATGGAAGTCTCGGTTTTAATTTTTTCCAAGGAAAGATGGTGCACGTATGTGAGGGGTAAATACATTCATGGGGGGGAGCATGTGAGAGCTCAGGAGCTGTCAAGGGCAGAGAAGGGTCAATAGCAGAATTCCACAGCTTTAATAGAGGCTTCTTTGTTTACTATATAGACTTCTTAAACTCTTTATGTTTATTCCAAGCTTTTTTTCAGTCCTAGATGTTGAAGTGGAATGCACTTTATTGCAATATAAAAAAAAAATAAAAAATTTGCCCAGATTGCAATAGTCTTCCATTTAACACTTGAAAATAAGAACTATCTCCTACTGTGTATTGTGCTTTGAAGTGAAAGAACGAACCTGTCCTGTTGTATATGCTGACGAGAGGAGGTTTGGTCCCAACTCGCATGCCGTTAGGTAGGATCAGTAAGTCAAAAGCTATCTGCTGTAATTCCAGTAGACAGTGGCAAAACCTTCTTAGTTATCATAGAGTATAGGCCTCACATTTACCGTAACTGTTGTAAATGTCTGTAGGATTTCCAGTGAGAACATTCAAGTGGATCTTTTCAGCTGGGGTTTAGGATCCACAAGATTTTTTGACTTCCAGAAAGATCCAGTGAACTTAGGGCTTTTTTGGATGTTAGTACTGCAGTATATATGCCTTGTGCAAGTTTTTTATTCCAGGTTATATCACTCGAAGAATTAGATTAGTTACTTACGGCTATGAAGACAACACAAGCTGCCTGGAATAATGCATCAGTTTATACCTGTTTCAGACTGAGATCATTCTTCAGGGGCTGTTTGGAACAATTAGCTCACAGCTGCGCGTGAAAGCGTCGCTTTGTGAAACAGTACAGATTTTACTCTGGTCTGTAGTCTTGATCTTGTATTAATTCATCCTATGACAAAATAAACGAACTTTACATATTAGCACTAGATGTAAGAATGTGTTTGGATTTTGAAGAATTTGAAGATTCAGGCAGAATATTATGGACCTGGGTAGGCAGTGCTACTTAATCTGCCATAGATCTTGCTGTTGCTATCTTAGACTTTTTGTGGCTTCGTGTATATTCCAGCTACGCTGCTTAAGGAGCCTCATTTCCATAGCAGGTATAGTTGCACAGATTTTTTCTTAAGCAGCCTTCTGGTAGTCCAGGACAATGTGCTGGAAGCCAGGTATAGCTGTTTCTGTGCTTATGTAATGAATTGTTTTGGTGTCTGATCTGTTTGGGAAACTTACTTTTTGGATTGGTCAGCTCTGTGTTCTGGTTCAATGCATAAATATTTCTCCTAGAAGAGCATAGGAGGTGCACTTCAAAAAAGTGGGGAGGGAGGAAGAAAAGAGGAAGCACTAAACTGCTTAAGTAGTGCAATTGTCAAATGTATACTGTAGCCTTATTCATCTGAGGCACAAAAAGTGTATTAGTTACAGTAAAGAGTGCTTCAGTGGTTATCACAGTGGGAATCAAATTCTTTTGTCATTTTCTTCTGGGAATTTAAACAGAAGGCAGAGATGCCAGATGGAGCAGGTTGAAGGTGAATACATTACTGAGGTTCCTGTTGCCCGTGTCTCTCAGTAGTCTTCCAGTACAAAAGCTTTTCTTAGAAATGGTCATTGAGGTTAATGTTGCATTGTTGTGTGTTGACAGCTGAATATTTTGACATGGAGGTGAACCTGCCTGGTACCCAACTATTAGGGGAACAAGTGATGTGATATGCTCAGTTTCTGTCACAGGGTAGAGTCAAAAGTACATGGACTGAAAATAGCTTTGTACACTAATGTGTACTATTCATGTGTGGTGTTAGGTTTTTGTTTTTTTCTAAAAGAAACCCTACAAAATAATGGATTTCCATACTTTTACCCAAAATAATAAGGTTCATAATCTTTCCTGGTTTATTCCTTTTCCTGTCAGAAAAGAACTGAGAATTCCAAGTAACTGATTTTTACATCTCAGTTGTCACCACGCTATACAAGGTATTGCGGTCAAGGTGTTTCTATCCATATATACAGCAATAGGGGAAGATGCAGGCCTTATTTAAGCACGCGGCTTAGTTGATGGCTGTTGGAGCTATTTATCTGAACTAAGGTAACTTCTATAAGCAGTAAAGCTCTCAGGCTTAAGCACTGGTAAAACAGACATTGTCCATACGTTTTGCAGGGGACATACCACTTTCACAGAGCAAATATCGATGTAATGTTTTCACTGACTAGAAAAGCTTCCCTTCAAGTTATAAGAGTTTTGTCTTAATTTAAAATTCCATTGTCAAGGAGTATTATTAGTATTACGATACAGTTGTATTTCAGTTACTGCTGTCTTGCTTTTCCCATGGGGTTTAGTCTTAGCAGTAAATGGCTTTTATTTTAGTTTTGCTCTTGAAAAAGCTGATGCTTCTTTTTCTTGATACGTATCTATTTTTATTTCTAGGCCTTTCTTAAAACTTTCCATGTCTAAATGGACTCCTGAATGTAATATAGTTTATACTCTAAAAGCGGATATGAAGAGTGAAGTTCCGTCTGATGCACCAAAGAGACAGGAGAGTCTGAAGGGGATCCTCTTGAACCCTGAGCCTATTGGGGCAGCCAAAAGCTTCACTGCAGAAGTTGAGATGATTGCCAGTAAAGTAGGGAATGAGTTCTCTCACTTATGTGGTGATTCTCAAAAGCAGAAGGACATGAATGGCAACCGTACAGACCAAGACAAAAGTATTGTGGTGCGAAAAAAACGCAAGAGCCAGCAGGCTGGTCCTTCATATACTCAAAATTGTCCTGATAAAGAAAACCAAGGAATCTTAGGATTAAGACAGCATCTAGAAACACAGAGTGAAGACAACGATTCTTCTTTTAGTGACTGTATCTCTTCGCCTTCATCTAGTCTACATTTTGGAGACTCTGACACAGTAACATCTGATGAAGAAAAAGATGCTCCTGTGAGACACCCTCAGGCAGTGCTGAATACTACGAGTAGAACTCACAGTGCCAGGTCACACAAGTGGCCTCGGACTGAGGCAGACTCTGTACCTGGGTTATTAATGAAAAGGCCCTGTTTTCACAACAGTTCTTTAAGAAGACTTCCATATAGGAAGAGATTTGTGAAAACAAGTTCATCACAGCGGACACAGAACCAAAAAGAACGAATTTTAATGCAGAGGAAAAAGCGGGAAGTGTTAGCTCGAAGAAAGTACGCTTTACTACCCAGCTCTAGCAGTTCCAGTGAGAATGATCTCAGTAGTGAGTCTTCTTCCAGTTCGTCTACTGAAGGAGAGGAAGACTTATTTGTGTCGCCTGGTGAAAACCACCAGAACACTACAGCTGTTCCTTCAGGTAAAACTCAATTCCTGAGGTACTTTTTATTAATGAACTTTCATAATGTCCAATGTGCTCTTTCTATGAGTGCTTTGGAGGAGTTGTTTTTCTGTTTTTATAGACGTTATACTACAATTAGACTTAATGCAAGTAACATGAACATTACACCATAAATTCTTGATCGGAAAACTACATTCAGAGCTTCCAGTAAAATTGCAACAAATCTAGAATCTTTAACTTAAATGTAAAAGGTGAAGTTAATGGTTTCTAAACAATGTGCTGGAAAGTTGTTGAATGTAATCAGTCATAGGATGTGGAGTTGATCCATTATTTTTTTTTTAGCTATTTGCTTGTATTAAAAATTTTAGCTGTTACAGCTTTGTTAACTGATTGTGAGAATAACAATTCTGTCTGGTTGTAAAATGTAGAAATATCTGCTAATACATAATTACCCGTGCTTGATAACTTAAAAAAAAAAAAAGAGAAGAAAAAAAAGAAAAATTGGTCATTGTGACAAGAGCCTGAAATAAGACTCAGTTGAAGGTAGCTTTAGTATTGCAATAATAAGAGAAAATTCTAAGGCCTGAAGTTGTGGAAGGCAAAGTATTGTATATATATACTGAATGTTTTACCTAGATAAACGCAATGCAATAGTCTTGCAGTTGGTTTTCATAGATGTTTCTCTAATAGGTATTTGAGGGCATGCTTTCATGTTTGGAGTGGGGTTTTTTTGGGAAGTGTTTTGGGGTTTTTCTTTAGTTGGCGTGGTGGGGTATTTTTGCCATCTACCAGTTTTTATGGACTTCCTTTAACCTTAAATTTACCAAGTGAAAAACAGTCCCAAGATTGGGACCAGTAACTATCACAATGTTGTACCTGTGCATTCTATTTATCATTTCAGCTTTTCAGAGAGCATGGTGAAGTAGATACATAGACGACAGCATAGTGTTGTGTTAATGTTTTGCCTACTGACAAATGTGGTCTAGAAAGTGAAACAATATCTCAGACTGTGATGATCATTCCTCTAAGGAAAAACCACAACTGAAAACACAAAACAGGCTTAAAAAAATCAAAAAGGTGTGTATGTTCATGTTAGGGCAGGATTTATGCTTGAACAGAACCAGAGTACTAAAAACCAGATTATTTACTGTGAGGGTGCTGAGATGCTGGAACAGGTTACGCAGGGAGGCTGTGGATGCCCCATCCTTGGAGGTGTTAAAGGCCAGATTGGATGGGGCTTTGAGCAACCTGGTCTAATGAGAAGTGTCCATGCCCATGGCAGTGAGGTTGGAGCTAGATGATCTTCAAGGTCCCTTCCAGCCCAAACCATTCTATGATTCTCTGTTTGCGTGTTATCCATTGTAGCAGGAAATAGTTTGAGTGTTGTTCTTGAATGTACTGTTTAAATACCAGAAGTAAAATTTGTAATGCAAAAATGTTACTATGCAGTGCTAGGGCTGCATGAACAACTCTGAAACAGAAGAGTTATTGCACAACCTTAATTATCTTCTTGCATGTTTCTGGGGACAGAAATGTAGTCTTTTAAGCCTAAAAAAAGTTAAATTTGACATGCACGTTCAAACATATTGAAGGGTATGGTTTGTAAATATTTATTGTGTGGGGATATGCATACATTCATATTAAAAAAACAGTTTGGGAAACTACTGGGTTAACACTTCAGTTTCTGAGTTAATAGTCTCTTCTCATTTTCAGAGAGGATGGAGTTTCATGTAACTTTAAAATGAGGTAGTACCATTAACAGCTCTCTTTCCACATAGAGCCCTATGCAATGGTGAGACTGGTATACAGATGAGAAAATGTAGGTTTTGACTTCTTAGGTGACCATCTGTTTCTAACCATGATATTTAAAAAGAAATTTTTATTTTTTTTATTTTGTCTACCTGAACTATTAAAACCTACTGCCCCTAACACAAATTCAATTATTACCACTTCTATGCTCTGATTTCTGATAGTGAATCTTTCCATAGGCATTTCAAAAGAATCTGTTTGGAGATAGATCTCTTTAACAATTGATGTAATGATCAGTGAATATTCGAGCTGTTTAGGGAACTTCGGGTAACTCAGTGATTCAGTGTGATGTTATTTTGATGGTAGGAAGACTTGAACTTGCAATTTGTTTCATCTAGTTACGTGGAAAAGTGCATTGTCCATTGGCTTAACTTTATTACTACTTGAAAGGCACACTTAATTTATGAAATTATGTTTATTCTCATGTCATGAATGAAAAATTGATTAACTGCACCGATTAATTTTAGATTAAAATACTGACATCAGTTGTAACTGAAATAAGGTATGCTTTAAAGAACGTGTATAATCATGGCTGTACTTCAGGACCAACACTTGCAGTAAGCTGAGAAGTAATTCTAGCTTATGGTATGTGAATACTATAGGTTTTTTCCTGTGGAAATATTTATTGAGGGGAAGTTTTTGAGCATTTTATTTACGTTGCAGAGAAAATGGGAAATTGAGCAGACTTCCTGTATAAAAGTGTCCTATTTTTAGTAAGATGAAAGTGTGATTAACACTATCTGTAGCTTTCTGCTGTTATATAAGGCATTTCTAGTTATTGAGTTAATTGGGACAGAAATGGGGCCAGCTGGAAAAATAGCTGTGCAACTCCTCAGTGTAGTGAGCAAGTGTGATGGTGTTTCTATATGAGGAAGGGGTTGTAGTGCTAGTAATGCTACACTCGTCTGTTAATGTTGGGGAAGAGGTTTTTTTGCTCTGGATTGGCATGTGAAGGTTATGTATACATCTGCTAAACTACAGAATATACTGAAGGACAAAGAGCTTCTGCTAAGAATATGAAGCCTGCAGCATATATGTAAAGCTTCTAGAGGATAGGCTAGGAAAGGAGGAGGAGAATAACAATCAGAAAAGAAAATACCATTTAAAAAATATGGTAACAACTGATTTTTTTAATCAGCAGGCATCAAAGGGATGGGATTAGTTTTGTAGCCTGCTTGATAGCAATTTGTATTAAGGATGTGTCACAAAGTATTTCTTTGCTTTGAATATTGATGTTTATCTAAAGATACAGTGCATTTAAAGAACCATTATATTTAAGTAGTGTATACTGTTCTGGAAAATGTTTCTTTCTGATTATTGAGAGAAATGTAAGTAACCACTTTTTAACCAATTGAGTGTTTAGTAGGTTAGTTCTTGTAGTTAGTTTTATTAACTTGGCTGTTTCTGAAAGATTGTATGAACGGAGATGTGTGTGGATATTTTGTTTTATTTAACAAAACCTTTTACAAAACCTTTGCCCAAAAAACTACAACCAACACTGTATAGGCCCTGACAGCCCTTTAAAAGGCTAGGGGTGCCATTTGGAGACAACCAAGCTGTGGAGGGAAATCTAGCAAAAGCTAAAATTGGAATAAGTTTTTAGCCTCACGTATTCTAATTTGGCAGTAAAGCTGAACCACAGGAAATGGGAAAGTGTTACAAAAAAAGCTGGGTAGAATTTTGCATTGTCATAAATTGTTCACCTAATAGCACTTAAAATTCCTTCAGGGTCTGATGTGTTATTCTGTATTTCTCATCTGCTGGTAGTAGACAGGCCTTGCCTTTTTCCTTAGAATATCATGCTGATGGGAAGCTCCTTCAGTTTTTGTTTAAGCTGTTTAGAATTATAAGACTGAGTTTACTCACTACCATCCTCTTGATCCCTCTAACGTATTTGTTCTCTGTCTTCCCAAAATGTTGAATGGAGACATCTGATATTTTAAAATCCAGAAGATGATGAAAATGTTAGATGTTTTCATGTTGAGATTATTTTAACAGGTTCAAGATAAATATGTATTAAGTGGAAATGAGCTGCCTGTTGTTGAGTTGATTATTTTTCAGTTACTTAATCCCTTCTAAAACTACAGCATGCACTCCTTTCCTCACAGTAACGATGCAGCTCATAATTCAGAGCTTTTATTGTAATAGCATTAGTGGACGAGGAAGTGAATGGATGCCCCCTTCCTGCTGTGCCTCTTATTAGAGAGGGGTTGGGGAAGAACTGGGAACTGGTGAGGAAAGAAGCACCTGGCTTCATGAGCAGTTGACATTAACCATCATTGCTGTATCTATTTGCTGTGAATTGGAGCTTTAAATAGCTACAGTAATAAAAGTTAGCGTGGAATTCACTTCAGTATTTCCCTGTAGCTGCTGCAGCTTTCTGTGCTGAAAAGATGGTACTTCTGGAATTGGCTTGCTGTAGCATTGCTGATAGGACTAAGATTTATGTGCTTGGTTAAGAACAGTCAGTAGCATTTTGGATTAGTCTGTGTTAGCACGGCTCACAGTGGGACAAGATGCCTGAAATTCTGGTTGTTGACCGTCTTTTCCACCAGGGTGCAGACTCCTAAGCAATTTCTGTGTTTTTGAAAATGTCGTCTTCCATCAGGCACAGCTGTTGGAAGGTATGTTCCAAATAAGTTTCAGATAAAGAAAAACTGTCGTCTTCTAGCCTAGTATCACCCAGCACTAAGGGGACAGGCAGGTTCCTTTAGGGATCCTCAACAGAATGATAATAGCTAAATCATAGTTACAATTAAAACTTTATTTTTTTAGGAGGATATGATTAGTATAGCACAGAATTTATGAATAGAGTGACACAGGATTACTACAAATCAATATAGTACAATTGGATATTACAATGTAGCACAATATTAAATCAGTATAATGCAATCTATAAGTAGCATAATGCAGAATTTATAATACAACTTAACTTGTAGTATCTAATCACCTGGGACCTCTGCAGATCAAATCTTAATACGTGGTTTATTGTACCAATATAAAAATCATAATCTAGACTCAAGAATCATATAAAAGGAGTCACTCACTCAATCCTGGGAGGATGCAGACAATGGCGGGGACATTCCTGGTCACAGAAGGGTCACGGATCTCATTATCCAGCAGTAGTTGTGGTCCAGGTTCCCACTTTAGGACTCGTAACTGCTTGCTTTTACGGGCAGTGCTCTGTGCGCTGTTAGGCTTCCCGGTTC